TTCTGCATTTAGAATTTTACAGCCCTAGACCCGTACTCGAACGCTCTCAGACCGCTCTGGAACGGCCTCGGCGCCCGCCAGCTCTCAGAGGTTCCCGATCCCGATCTATCTCTGTCTGACTTTGGCCTCATCCTTCCCTCTCTCGGCCGTTCTGCCTGGCTCCCTGGCTCCCGTTTTCGGCAGTCTGGACCTGGGCAGTATTCGTCGGCTGGCGTGAGGTTGGGCTTGGCAGAAGATGAATCCCAATTCGTCTGCGGGATGAGGCGGGCACCCTGCTTCAGGGGTCAAGCCATGCTCCTGCCCGATGACCTGGCTTGGCTCCTTGTCCTTGAGTCTTGGACCTGGCCAGCCAGACCCTTGAGGTCCGAGGTCGCGTAGTGTCAACATACAGCACCGTGATACATCATGGCCGCAGCCCCAGACCCCATCTCCCATCTCCCTGCGTCATGGTATGTCTCACGGCAGGAAGACATTTTTCCAGCACTCGTCCGCGAGATGAGGCGTGCACCTTGCTCTGGGGCCCAAGCCCTGCCTTCTGCCCAGCGATGTTGCGGCCGCGCGGCCGTCCCAACGCGGCGGCCCCGCTCTTCTCGTGCAGCCCCTTTGAAATCGGCTCCCAGAGGAGGCCCGCAGCCTGCTCCGGGAGCTCTTCCCGTGGCGATGACGGGCGTTTTTTGGGGGATCGGGGAGGCAAGCGCCTGTGGGCACGCACACAGGGGGTTGGCTCGAGGGAGGTGGCCTTCTAGGAGACGGGGTGCTTCTTAGAAGGCGGGGGCCCTCTTGGAAGGCCAGGGGGCTTCTGCGAAGGCTTCTTCAGAAGCCGAGAGGGCTTCGAGAAGCCCCGTGCCCGAAGGGGCTTCCGTGGGGGGTGCCTGCCTGGTGGGTGCCTGCCATCTTGGGGTGGTGGTCTGCCTGCCTGTGGGCAGTGCCTGCCCGGTGGGGGGAGGGTTCCTGCCTGCCCGGTGGGGGGGGCGGCCTTCGCACGGACACCACGGCAATATGGTCAGCAAGAGGTTGTTGACCCTGTTGACCCGCCTGGTGGAGGCCTGCGAGGCTGTTTGAATCTGTTTCTTATCATCAAGCACCGCTTTCATCGACATCACCATCATCATCATCATCATCATCATCATCATCATCATCATCATCATCATCATCATCATCATCATCATCATCACCGTCACCATCATCACCATCATCATCACCATCACCATCATTACTAGCATTACCATCATTACCATCATTACCATCATCATCATCATCATCATCATCATCATCATCATCATCATCATATCATCATCATCACCATCACCACCGTCATCATCACCATCATCATCATCATCATCACCATCATCATCATCATCATCGTCATCGTCGTCATTATCATCTTCATCATCATCGTCATCATCATTCTCATCCTCACAGTACATTTGTAGCATCATTCAACGTGTTTGGGTGACGCTCTTGCAACACTTTTTGTTATTGTCGGGGATGCTCAGTGGCGGTGCCGTGAGCCCATGGAAGCTGTACAGGAAAGCAGGGAGTAAGACACGTACAAAAGTTTTGTTTCCACATCGGAGGAGACGACAACTGTAGGACACCTTTTGACAGTCGATATTTTCATGGTGACGGTACCACGCACCTCTATTTTGTTGTAGCAGCCTTTACAGAAGGACTCCATTTGCGGTGATTTTTCATGATTAATTCAATTTTAGGGAATCTGCAAAGGCGGTACCGTGGAAGCGTGGAAGCACCAAAGGAAAACATGAAACAACAACATGACAACATGTGTTATAACATGGAACCAAAAAGGACAAACTAGGGATACGTGTGACTGTTGCGATCGATCTTGTGCAGATGCCCCACAATAAACATCTTTTTGGCAGCCTTTGCGCAGCGATCCCTTCTGTTCCCCCAAACAGTGCTTGCACTTAAGGGCTTTTTATTTCTGTTTAAGAAATTGAGCCTGGCGGCTATGTTGCCGCCGTCGCCGCCGCCGTCGCCGCCCCGTCGCCGCCGCGTCGCTGGCCATCGTCTGGGCCTGTGCGTCGGTCTGGCGGCTATGTTGCCGCCGTCACCACGCCGTCGCCGCCCTCGCCGCTCGCCGCCGCGTGAGATTCCACCACATAGATTGCATCGCGTAGATTGTACCGCATAGACTGCGCCACGTCGATTGCATCACATATAGTGTACCACGAAGATTGCACAACATAACCTGCAGCACACGGATTGCACCACTTACACTGCACCACATGGGTTCGCAACATAGACTCGCAGCACAGGTGGCACCACATAGGTTGCACCACATAGATTGCACCACATGGGTTTCACCACATAGATGGCTCCACAACTATTGCACAACACAGATTGCGCAACACATATTGCATCACACAGGTTGCACCACACATATCGCACAATACATATTGCACCACACAGATTGCGCCACGCAGACTGCACCATATACATTGCACTGCGTCGATTATACCACATAAGTTGCGCACCACATAGATTGCATCACATAGTTTGCACCACATATATAGGGCAACATGTATAGCACCACACACACTGTCTGCACCAGATAGAGTGCACCACATATATGGCCCCACAAGGATTGCACAGCATATCTGTCACGACATAGCTTGGACGTCATTTATTGTACAACAAAAATTGCACCATGTAGTTTGCACCACAAAGTTTGCTCCATCTAGATTGCGCAGCCTATACTGTTAGGGGCGCACTTTGTTTGGGATCCACGCTGGCTAACATGGAGATCTTTCAGAGGGTTTCTAAGTGATGGGGATCTGCAGAGGAGGCGCCGTGGGAGAGTGGAAGCTTTGCAGGAACGTCTTTCTGAGACAACATGAAAATCAATGAAGAAATAGTGTTTTCGGATTGCTATCTTGGACAGTAGGGACAAGTCAGGAACATATTTGATTGTCGCTACTTCGATTGTGGACGTGCCCCGCAACTACAATCCTTTTGTGAAAGCCATTACACGAGAATTCCTTTGGTGGGGATCTTCCAGCAGGATTTGAAGTGTGGGGGATCTGCAATGGCTTCACACTTGAAAGCTTTATGTAGCGACCTTCGCAAAGGGATTCATTCTGTGGAGATTTCACAAGCAGGATGTTCATGGGATTGGACACTCCACAACGGATTTCGATTCTGGGGGATCTGCAGATCCCCCGCGCGTTAAAGACATCTCTCTGACATATCCCCACAGAAGGGGAATCCTTTTGTAACGGTTTCTGCACGAGGATTCTGAGTGTGCGGTGCCTCCGCAATAGAGCTAGCGACATGCATTGGTTTCCGTATCTTTCGTTCTATATATATATATATTCCAACGGCGTTTTCTTGAAGTTTCCCTGTGACTCTTGACATCTGCATACATGTTTTCCATGCATTTGTGAAGTTTTCCTGTGACGCTTCCACGCTCCCACGGCGCCGCCTCTGCAGGTCCCCCGCGCTGTTAATCCTATTTGTAAGATCGTCACAAAAGAGCCCTTTTGCAAAGGCCGCTGTAAGAGGATTCCAATTGGGGAGGCCAGTGCAGATCCCACACCCTGAGTTTTTTTTGAGAGACCCCCACACCAGTAATTCTTGTGTAAAGGCTGCTACACAAGGATTGAACGAATGGGATACCTGCACCATAGAAACAGCGTCAATCACATATGCCGTTTTTCCATTCATATTTTCATATGGAAGCGCAGTTTGCATAACATTTTTTTGTATATGTACTCCTTTCGCGCTCCCACGGCGACGCCTCTACATATCGGCCGCAAGTTCAATCTTTTCGCACGATCGCCACACGCTGGACCTCTTTGTAAGGGCTGCCGCAAAAGAAATCCGCCAGTGTAAGGCTGCCTTGTGTGTGATCCTTCTGTAAGGCCGTCACGCAAATAACTAGAAAGTAAGGCCGCCACAAGATCATCACACACATGCAGAAACGCGACTGAAACAGCTGGTGGCAATCTCACAAACAAAAACTACGGGGAGACCTGCCTGCCTAGAGGGTGGCTGCCTGTCTCGAAGGCCGCCCCCCTCGAGCTATCCCCTTCCTGTGCGCGTCTCCGAGATGGTTTCCGTAGTTGGGTCGGTTCGGTTGCGTCGCGGTCGGTGGCGTTCGGTTCGATTCAGTCGGTTCTTGTGTCGTCGCTGCGTCCTTCTGTGCTGCTCGCGGCCTGTCGGTTTCGGTCGGCTTCGGTTCAGCCGTCGGCTCGTTCGATTTTCGGTTGTGCTGTAGCCGTGGACGGCCGTGGGAGGGGATGGGGCGGATGGGGCCGGCAACGTCACGATGTCGAAGATCTTACGGCCGGTGCCGCCGACCCTGAAGGGAGATGACGACGACGACGACGACGACGACGACGACGACGACGACGACGACGACGACGACGACGACGACGACGACGACGACGACGACGACGACGACGACGACGACGCGACGCTAACGTGGGCCAGAGTCCTCAGGCATGCTTCCTGGGGTCTCGTCAGAAGTCTCTTGGGGGCCTCTGGGGAGGAACGCTGGGGCCTCTTGGGAGCCTCTTGGGGGCCTCGTGGGGGCCTCTTGGGAGCCTCTTGGGCGCCCCCTGGGGGCCTCTTCGGGCTTCCTGGGGACCTCCTTCGGGCTGGCAACGTCACGATTTGCGCTAGGCCCCGTGGCCTCTCGTGCCTAGTGGCCTCAGTAGAGGACTAAACAATGACATAACCAATCAACTCTTAGGTCCGCGCGGATTTCTCGGATCGGCGGCACCCTCGCGGCGCCTCCGGCGCCACAGGGAGGGGGATCCAGCGCCGATCCGAGAAGTCCGCGCGGACCTCTGAGTTTTTTGATGTCCTACTCAATCGCCTCCCTTCTCTCCCCTCCTTCCTGCCTCAACCTCCCCCCTATCCCTCCTGAGCGCGAGTCATTCGGCCGAAGAGCGAGCACTCCTACGAGTCGGCACTCTGCAACCTGCTCGTAGATCGAGTCTCACCACTACCACCTCCCACCTCCCACCTCCCACCTCCCACCTCCGTCCTCCTCCTCCTCCTTCACCAATCGGGGCCAGAACGGGCCGCCTGCGGGCCGCTACACTGCGCGGGGCGCAAGGTTTCCCGCGCGCTTAGCTTGCGGCGGGGACTCGCCCTCTGCCCTCCGCGTCGGCACGCAGCGGAGACTCACCTTGCGCCTCCTCCTCTTCTCTCTCTCGCTCTCGCCCTCTCTATCGCGCTCCCGCTCCCTCCTCCTCCTCCTCCTCCTCCTCCTTCTCCTCTTCCTCCTTCTTCTTAGCCTCCTCCTCCTCAGCTGGGCCCGTTCGGCGGTATTGCCGAGGATTCCCGAAACGGAGCAGATCTTGTTTAGGGAACGGCCAGGCCGCGACGCGATCACAGTCGGGATTCGGGGCCTGCCCAGGGAGCGCCTGCGCGACGCGTGCCCGGCGTGCTTGGGGGACGCCTGGCCTCCAACGCATGCTCGGGTGCTGCACCGCCATGGAGGACCACCGTTGGGGTGGTGGTGGTGCTGGCCGCGTGGCGAGCCCCGCGGGCGCTGCGAGAAGCGCAGGATGTAGACGAGGTAGCTGCCAAGGTGCGGCTGGTAGGCGTGGCTGCTTCGGCCTTCGTGCACGCGTGCCAGCGCAGCGCGAAGGAGGAGGGAGGAAGGCATGCCCGCGCGCGTCCCCACGGCCGTGGCCTAAAGGTATTCCGCTTTCTACAGGCCCTCCCTGTCGCCTCCAGGCACCTCCTCTGCCTAAAAGCCTCCCTGCCTACAGGCATGCGCGTTTCCTATGTGCAGTGCGTATAGGCGCTGCCCGCAGGGCTTGTCTGGCTACGAAGGCCCGCAGGGTCTTTAGGTCGGAGTCGCTCGCAAAGGGGAAGGCCGCCGCGTACAGGCGGGAACCCAACCTAATGGGTCACAGTCAATTGGTCCTGATACGTCCTCCCTCCTCGTTCTCGTCAGCCTCCCTCCTCCCCCTTTTCCCTCTCTCCCTCCTAGTCACCACTCGTCGCCGTGATGAGTGCAAGGGAGTCAGCGCTTGACTCGAACCCACGTCCAGAGACCCTCCCCACCCCCTCGTCGTCCTCCCCTTCTGCCTCCTGGTCCTCCTCCTTCCCTCCTCTTCACTCCTCCTGCCTGCTACCTCATCTTCCTCGTCCTTCCGCCCCCTCCCTGCCCCTACTGCTCCCTTCCTTCTCGGCAGTGTCTCGACCTATCCAGTATCAGCTAATCTGTGATTCTCTCAGTAACAGCTCAGACGCATGTGTTTTTTTTCGCAACCCTCCGTTGTTGAGTTCTCGTTTTGAATAAAGCACTGTGGTCTCCACGGCGTCCTCCTCCCGCCTCTCTCCCGCCTCTCTCCTTGGCTCTCTCTCTCTCTCTCTCTCTTTCTCCTCTTGTCTCGTACCTCTCTCGTACTTGCCCCTGACCTCGCCATCCCTGGGGGGGTGCGATCTGCGAAACCGTCGCCACTTTCGAAGGCTGCAGGCGGGGCCAGCACACCGGGGCCCTACCCAGGTTCAGATGAAACCTCGCCATCTCTGGGGGGGTGCGATCTGCGACACCGTCGGCACTTTCGAGGGCTGCTGGGGGGGCAGCGCAGTGGGTCTCCATTCGGATTCAGGTTAGACCTCGCCATCCCTGGGGGGCTGCGATCTGCATTCGGAGTCATATCATACCTTGCCATCCCTGGGGGGCTGCGCTCCGTGAAACCGTCGGCACTTTCGAGGGCTGTTTGGGGGCCAGCCCAGTGAGGCCCCATTCGAATTCAGATTAGCCCTCGCCAGAATCTGCGATCTGCGAAATCGTCGCCACTTTCGAGGGCTGCTGGGGGGGCCAGCTCAGTGGGGCCCCGTTCGGATTCAGATTAGACCTCGCTATCCCTGGGGGGCTTCGATCTGCGACACCGTCGGCACTTTCGAGCGCTGCTGGGGGCGCAGCTTAGTGCGGTGCTGTGTAGATCAGGGCGGGACCTCGCCATCTCTGGGGTTTGCGAACTGCGAACCTGTCGCCACTTTCGAGGGCTGCTGGGGGCTCCAGCGGAGTGATGTCTTACGCAGATTCATATCAAACCTCGCCATCCCTGGGGGGCTGCGATCTGCGAAACCGTCCACTTTCGAGGGCTGCTGGGCGTGGAGGCAGCTTAGTGCGGTGCTACGCAGATCAGAGCAGGACCTCGCCGTCTCGGCTGCTGGGGGCTCTAGCGGAGTGGCGCCTTAAGCGGATTTGTATTAGACGTCGCCATACTTTGTGGGGGCTGCGATCTGCGAAACTGTCGCCACGCGTTCGAGGGCCGCCGGTGTGCCCACCATAGTGAGGGTCTTACGCGGATTCAGATTCGATCTCTCCATCCCTGAGGGTGGGATACGATCCGCGAAACTGTCGTCACTTCCGAGGGCTGATTGCTGGCATACCTCGAAACATCATCTCTGTCCTTATGACCGTCTTTTGTTGCCACTTTCGTGCTGCTGCTATGTCCTCTTGCTGCTGCCCCGCTTACATTTCAAACTCCCTGTCCGCCTTCTCCTCCTAGTCCTCGCCCCGCTTTCCCCTCGACCCAGGGAACTGACCAATCACCTCCATCAAGCCCGTGTCCATTGATCGGTGTTCTGCGGGCTGTGCACCTCGCGAGCCTCCCACATACCGTTCTCAGAGCATATCTCCTCTTCCCACGTTGCCACCCCCTATAAAGTCTGCCCATCTATGCTGGCCATGCGTTGCGCAAGGGTTGGGTACATCGTCAGGGTAATTACGCCAGGAACATGATGCGAGTTGATAGGCAGCTCCGTCGCTGGGAGAGGGCGACCACCAGCATGTGGCCGCGCCCGCAGCCCGATGCTTCCCCAGTTGCTGTCGCAAGCGTGGTGTGAAGCTTGTAGCTCTGCTCTCCTGGTCTTGCTTGACATGAATCCATGGCGTGTTGTCCTGACAGTTCTCGGACGCCATCATGTTTCTGCGCCTGATGGGCCAGCCGTTGCCCTGGCACACCTGCCGAGCCTCGCAGGGCACTCTGCACGGCCGCTCTGGGATGGGCTCCCTCACGCGGTGCCGTGTAGACTTGCGTGTGCTGGCGATGGCCGCGGCGTCTATGTGGCAATCATTCGGGCTCCAGGCTGAGTGTCGTCCTGACGCCACGCCGTGCCGCTTTGAAAAAAGGGCGCAGAGAGCGGCACGGCTTCAGAGCCTGGAGGTGGCCACCACCCAGAACAGGACTCGCATTCGGGGGGTCGAGAGGTTGACACCGCTCCCCTGAACCGGCGAAAGTGAAGCGGGGGCGGCTCCGACAGCGGAAGGCGGCGGAAGCGTGGTGGAAGCAGGCGGAAGTAACCACCGATCTTCCAAGACATGTGAACTTGCGGTGTGGTCCTTCATGGGAGCCTCAGAGGGTCCCTTGCGGTTTTGAAGATTTCGTCCAGGCTTCGTCGGATTTGGTCGACATTTGGACGAAATCTGGACGACATTTGGGCGACAGCTTGAAGAGGGGTGGCCGAAATCTGGACGACATCCAGTCGACATTTCGTTTATGATAGGGCCGCGGAGGTCCACAGAGGCTTCCAGGAAGGCTCACCCAGAATTTGTTTGTGTTCAGGGTTTCTGGAACGAGTCGCATGATGTCTGTTAGCTAATGCGCTTACGAACCCTGGCAAGCCCCAGAGCTATAACAACATGTTTCGTGCAGGGACGCGCGCCGCGGTGCAGGATGAGCTAGGGTACGGGAGGTCAGTGCGCGCACAGGGCTGCACATCCTGATGACGATTTCACAGCTTCGGTCCGTTGTGAGGAAGTGCCGATCGGCATCTGCACTCCCCGCTCTCCCAGAGGACGGAGTGAGTCCGAGCGGCTTTCGGAGGCATGGTAGTGAGCTGGGAGCCACCCCGGTCAGGAGCTTTGTTTCTTCTGGAGCACTACGCTGCACATCAACGAGATGCAATGCGAAGCGTTTTACTGCAAAGCATTTCCAGACAACGAAGTGCACAGCAGTATTATGCAGTACGACGTAAGCAATGGGGTGCAAAACGAAACGGTTCAACGCAAAAGGGATTCAAGCAAATCGTTGTAATGCACTGCAAAGCAAAGCAATTCTTCACGCTTCTCGTATCCCCACCAGCCCAGGTTACCGCTATTACCAGGGCGCGCCGCTTGCACCGCCGGGCCGCCTCGCCGGCTGGGCGCGCATTGGCTGGCGGGCGCCTCCCTCATCATCGGGCCCCGCGTCCCCACTACGCCTGTCGTGCTCCTTCCTCACGTGAGTGGTGGCTCGTGGCGCTGCGCTCTGCCGCTCCCGATGGGTCGCTGACCCAGCTGTCGACCCCCGCCGCGGCGTTCGCCTTGCCTTCCATTCGTTTTTTCGTGGTCGTCGAGCGCTTGCACGCCGCCTGACTTGTCTTGGTCTTCTTCCTGGACATGGTCACGCGCTAATTCATTTCGCCATTTTGGTGTGCATCGAGGCCTTCATCCTGGCCCTCGTCGGCTTCGGCGTGTACCACCTGGTCTTCAGAGTCGGTTTCGCCTCCTGAGTGGCAGCGTAGCCCGTTCTTGTCGCTTAGGGCATACTTTAGCCCGCTGCTCGTTAGCTGCGCTTTGACATGGCGCCGGGCGATTTGTCGCTACGGTCGCGATCCGAAAAACCCCCACCAGCCCGCTCAGAACCCCTGCCCATGAGAGCTGACGGGGAAGTGGGCGCAGAGATACATACAGAGAAGCAAAGCGGGCGACCAGGAAGAACAGAGAGATCTCTGGGAGCGAGCGGGTGGCCTTGGAGGGCCTCTTCGGGGCATCCCTGGGGCCCGCGGGGGGGCGGAGGGAAGGGGGGAGGAGGGGGAGGAGGTACGCCTCGTGGGACGCCCTTGGAGTGCTAATGGGCGTTCTTGATGCTGTCATGGGGCCCTCTTGGGGCCCACTGGGGGCTCTCTTGAATAGGCTCTACCCCCCCCCGGACTTATCGCTTCCCCCTGGGATACTGTAATTTCATATATATATATATATATATATATTATATATATATATTCTGCACACTCGTCCATCCTAGATACGAAACCATACCATCCCAGGCAGGCCGGGTTCCCCCCCTCGAGGTTCCCTTGTAAAACACTATGCGGTGGCATTTTTTGTTCTAGCATCGCACATTTTTCGCGAATCCCTTGCAAAACATGGGACGAAGTGCGCACGCGCGCGTCGTCGCGCGCGCATGCCGAAATCCTTCAAAAACCTTCGGTGCCGGAAGGATTTCGCAATCGAGTTTCAAACAAAAACATACAAAAACACATGGTTTCGCAACGCTGATTTGCTAAAAATGCTTCCGCGCGAGCTCTTGCGAAATCTTAAGAACACCATCGGTTTTAATGCTACCAAGCGGGCTTTGCGCGCGCATGTCGAAATCTGTCGAACGCCCTTGCGCGTGTGCCGTCGCGAGAATCCTTTGGAAAAAACGGGACGAAGTGCAGACGCGCGCGTCGTCGCGGGCGTACGCCGAAAACCTTCAAAAACCATGGGTTTCGGAAGGGTTTCAAAATCGTGCGTCCAAAAAAACGTACAAAAACCCAAGGTTTCGCAACACGGATTTTCAACAAAAGCGTGCGCGCGCGCTCTTGCGTCGTCGTCGTCGTCGTCGTCGTCGCCGTCCTCCCTCCTCCCGCGTCGTCGTCGTCGTCGTCGTCGCCTACGTCGTCTTCTGTCTTTCCTCGTGTTCGTCGTCGCCGTCCTCTTTGGCGTCGTGGTCGTTTCCGTCGTCGTTGTCGCCGTGGTCGTCCTTCCTCTTCCTCCCCCGTCGTCGTCGTCGTCCGTCGTCGGCGTCTCGTCGTCGTCCCTCCTATTTCGTCGCCGTCGTCGTCGTCGTCGTCGTTGTCGTCGTCGTTGTCTTCCCTCCTCCCTCGTCGTTGTCGTCGTCGGCGTCGCCGTCCTCCCTCCTCCCTCGTCGTTGTCGTCGTTGTCGTCGTCGTCGTCGTCGTCCTCCCTCCTCCCTCGTCGCCGTTTTCGTTGGCGACATCGTCGTCG